CCCGAAAAAATTTTTGGTCCCACGGGTGAAGGGTTTTTTTTTTTTTTTTTTTTTTTTTCAATGGGTATTTGCTGGAGGGAAGGGAACAATTCTGATTCCTCCTTTCTGAACTGCATGTTCCATCTGTAATTAGTAACAGGCTGGGGCAAGCCTGACTTGCACAAAGAGGAAACTTCTCTTTAAGGTGGAAGAAATTATTGGCTGAAATTTTATCTCTGGCTCAATTTAAATGAAACACAGTTGATGGGGAACCTAGAGAAATACCCAGAAAGAATTGCATGCTGCAGTGGGAGTACAGCACAGTGAGTGGCTCTTCCTCTGAGCTGCCAAAGTGATATCATTTTCTGCTGAGTGCACCTGAGATCCGATTGAGGCCACTGGCTCCCAAGAAGTTAGGGTTGGATTTTGACTCTCCGACTGTCCTAGCAAATGGTCAGATGCCAATTGTGGAGAAAGCCAAGGAGTTTCTGTTTGCAGAGGTGTAGAGAACCTACCCCACTTCAGGCTGTGCTCATGTCTCAGCCCTGAGACACATAGATCTTAAGCTGGAATCAGAAGGGGTCCAGGAGCCTGGTAGTCTTCTAGCTGTGGCTGTCCTTACAGACTCTTCCCTTTGTGTGCTCTTTTACCAAGGGAGATTGCTGGGGTGATGAAGTAGGCGTATCATTAGATTGGAGAGGGTTGGCAGTTCAATTTGGGACAGGCTGACCATATGACATCCCTTGGGAGTAGTGTCCTACTTTCAGTATCACCAGGAATCCCTATTGTTAGCCTGTAAGTGGAGCCAAGGGATACCCTCCTCTCCTGTTTCTGTACAGTAGTCCCTCAGGCAATACTAGATGGGGCAGATTCATTGCTGGGGTCTTCCTTGTAGAGCTCCCTGCTGTAGATTATTCCCCACCCACAATGAATGGGGCTGTGGTCTTCCCTGTACAGCTCACTGCTCTGGAATGAAGGCAAAAAAAAAAATAATAATGCCAAAGCAGCAGGGGAAAAAGAGTGCCAATAAAGATAAATGATTTCCTAATTAAGCCTGGAGACAAGGAGGGGCAAAGAGAACTGTTGAAGCCTTGTGGGAGCCAGAGTGAACCCAAGCAGGCTATACCACCACTCTGGCAGGGGTCTTCAGGCTGACATTTTTAAACAAAGGAAAAAGCTCATTTGACAATGGATC